AAAAAAAAAAAAAATTGTAAGAAACGTTAAAATTTAATTTGATGAGAGGTAGCATACCTAGAACCTTGTTGGTGATTTTTTTGTTGAATGATCTTCTCCTCCATATCTGTAGCCTTAAGTTTCCTGTGCAGAAATAGAGGAAAAGGGAAGGGATGAGAGAAAAAGATTGCAAAAATGGAATGATGGCTTCTTTTTCCTGGTATTTAAAGAGAGCTGGCGTCTAGGGAAACAAGGTATGAGAGTGTGTATGAGAGAGAGAGAGAGAGAGTAGTGTGGACGACTTCCACGCGGAAAGGCATTTTGGACGTATTACTAATACTTGATAATATTGGGGTACTTACAAAACAAAATAAAAATCCTCTTTCCTCGGCTTTAACTTTTAAAGAAAATTCATTTTTGTAGTTTATAAAAAATAACGTATAAATTACTCTGTGACGTACTCTCCATAGAATGCAAGCCCATATCCTGTGACACAAAGATAAGAAATAAATAATAATAAAAATAATAAAAATAAGATCAAAATTTGAAGGACAGTTGATGTAATTGGGATTGATATCTATCAGGTACAGAAAGACATGGAAAATTAAGATCAAGTAATTGGGGGGTATGCGATGTTGTAAAAGAAGGGTGGGGAAGAGAGAGGTTTGCACGACTAACAGATCGCATAAATCATTAGTTGGCTCATATAGATTGTTAATTTAATTAGAGATTTGATATGATGCTTTTAAAATATATTTATTATGCAACAAATGGGATATAGAATGCACTTGCAAAGCATAGAATTTTTTTAGAACAGTCTTTTGTTATTTTTGACTCTATTCCTGGCTTTTGTTCTTTTGCCATGCCCATGACCAAATTGAGTCTGTTGTGTATATTTTGTAAACGTTAATTAGCTTAATTCTCCGTTCGCACAAAAAAATGTTAAAAAAAGAGGGAGAGAGAGGGGTATGTGATGTTGAATAAGAAAGAAGGGGAGAGAAAGAGGGGGCATGTGATCTGTGATGTTAGGTTAAAAAAGGGACGAGAGAGAGAGAGAGAGAGAGAGAGAGGCATGTCACATTGAAAAAGAAAAGGACGGGACTGTAGTCGGTGGGTTGAGAGGGAGGGAGGGAGACAGAGGTAAGTGATTGTGATGTGTGATGTTAAAAAAGGAAAGTGAGGATGATTGCAAGTAATTATTTTTCTGGTAGTGCAAGTTGTCCCCCCCACCCTTTTCTTTTTGTAATAATAGAGAAATATATAGATAATTAATGAGTTACAATAGTTTTGAAACTGTTTTCTCAATGTCTAGCATACAAGTACAAAATATTATTACGTTCATCAGCAAGAGAAACCCCAAAGACAACAAAAGATGAATCTGGTTTAGCTTAATTAACGCCAAGTTTAGCCGAAGAAGGATCAGCAGTAGCATTTGCAACTCGCAAAACATAGTGGACCTCCACCTCAGAAAACTGGCCACCAACATACTGTAACAAAGTTGTCCTGTTTGTTAGTCTTTAACAAGTCAACTCTTGGTCCCCCAATGTCGCTGGTACGTACACTAATATATTTTGATGTGATATATCTGTCAGACCACTTTATTAATTTTGAACACTTTAAACTTCAAGTACCAATACTAAGAATCTGGGTATTTAATTTTCCAAAAACCATCCCATGTTTTGAATTTGGTATGGTTTTAATGTGAACGTATTGAGCAAGTAAGAAAACAATTATTAAGGGTGTAGACTTGAGCCAGATGTGCTGAAGAAAGTTGCCTTTGGTTTATCTTAGTGCATGTCTTGGTAAAGTTGCACGGGCCAGGGAAGGATAGGGAGAAGACATTTAGGGATACACGTGTCATGTGTCTTTAAGGAACAGTGGGCACCAACTCTGGCAAATTACTTGGAGAATAACAGCTAATACTTTTTTTTGGGGGGGGGTAAAAGAATAACTGTTAATGCTAAATGCTAATTTCCTAATTTATAATTGATACGTCCAAAGACCATAAAGCTCAAGAGAGTGTGCAAAAAGCAAAGCAGTGTCTACAGCCTAATAAGACCCATCAAAAGCAAACTGTTGAGAATAAAATGTCTTCAAAATGAGAATAGAAGCATTCCTTAAAATGGTTTGATAATCAAAAAGCGCAACTTGATTAGCCTGGGTCCGCATTGCAACAAAACATCATATAAAATCTGTTGGAACTTAAATATTTTAATAAAAATAAAATAATATATTTTATAAATTGAATTTATTGTCTTATTAAGAACTTGGTCAAACTAGCTATTGTAGGTTAATTACCCTACTGAAGGGCACATTATTTCATAATAATTGTCTAATTTATTCATATAATTAACCTACAAATGTAAGTTACAAAACCATGAATCTTATAAATAGAACATGTCTTTTGCTCAAAGTAGTATGTTCCTCCACATTCTTCTAATTTTCTTACTTTGCTTTATCTTCAAAATATTCTTGGGTAAAGAAAAGGTGTTTTAAGTTAGGTGACTCTATGGGTAATGCAAATTCATAGAGTGTTATTATAAGGCTGTAGTATCCTGGGAGCAACATACTATGAATATCTCTGCTGCACTAGTTAATCTACTATTTGTAGAGGCGTGAATTGTCTTAAAGTAAGTAAACTTTTCACGCTTATTTTGATGATATTTTCTTATCGATATTTCTTGATAAATTCACTCATTATTTTATTTGATCTTGTGACTGAAGCACAACAATGACATGATGTAGAGATGGAGGAGAGTTTTTGAGGAACAACAAAATCTTGTTGAACAATATTCAACTTTTGGCGCCAACTACGTAAAAGGTCTAGTGCTATAATCAATCCTCTAAATTAAGTAAAAGATTAAAAATATGAGTTATATACATGTGAATAGAGGGGTAAATAAATAAATAAAAAGTTGTATTTTATTGTTTAACTAAAAATAAAATAAAATTTAAAATGTTTTTCTAATTTGTACCCTTAAAAAATAGATTAAGCCTTTATTTGAATTGAGAGAATTGAGGGAGAAGGGGAGGAAGGTGAAGAGATGTCTCTCCTTAATATTGTTTGGATAACATTATTAATGGAGAGGAAATGAGAGAGAGGTAGATGAGGGGCAGTAGACTCCCTCCAAATTCCTTATTTTTAATCCTTCCAATTTGAAAGAATTTGGAAGGATTTGATTTATTTTTGTTTTATTTTTTTACCTTTTTTTCAAAAAATAATTAAAGTTTCTATTTAAACTTTAATCTAAATATATAAATTTATAAAAATTTAA